GGGGGCTGGCTGGCGGTCTGTGTGGTGCCCACGCCATACCGATGCCGCTGCCACACTGCCTGCTGGCGGGCACGGGGGGGCTGGTCCCAGAGGTGCACACGGGGTCCCTGCTTACGCATCTGCATTTTCCACCTGTGGCTTTTGTCCTTGAGAGTTCACCCTGGGAACTGGGGCAACTTGGAGGCACCGGGATGGCTCTTCCAGCTCAGCAGGAGCTCCCATGGGGGGGAGAGGTGGAGCAGGTGGCAGGGGCGCAGCCCCGGGTGAGGGTCCGCTCACCGCTGCTGGCACTGGGCTTCCTGCAGGCGCCGGCTGAGGTCGTCTATCCGCACGTTCTTGAGGTGCAGCAGCTGCTCCAGTCTCCCCACCTTCAGCTGCAGGATCTGAGCAGAGACCCCAACATCCCTCAGTTTGTTTTCGGGGGGCAGGAGGCACATCCATCCACCCCAGACAGGCTCTGCGGGGGGCTGGGGCCTGCCTGAGAGCCAGCAGCAAGGATGGGGGACACAGGGTGGGACAGGGAACTCAGAGACAAGCTGATGTGGCTGCTGGAGTCGCTCAGTGGCATCAGCCATCTTTAACCACAGGGGAAACTGAGGCAGATGAGCACCAGTGCCAGATTTGGGGTCCCTATTCCTGCTCCCACAACCCACACCAAGCAAACGCTCTCCCAAAACATGGCCTGGGAGTCCCAGCTCCCCACCGGGACCTGGTGAGAACTCTTCGCATCTGAGATGCCCCACAGCATTCCTTCTCTTTCAAAATTTTACATCTTAGGAGACATTTTCCAGCAGAAAAGCCCCAGTTTTAGGCAAGACAGAGCCATTGCCCTGCCTTGGTGCTTAATGAAGCTCTGTTTCAAAAATCACCCAGTGTCCGAGGTTGAACAAGGGATGGCCAGAGCCTGGTCTGCAGCCCCGGGACGGTCCAGGGGCCATGGCAAGCTGTGTGCAGAGAGGGTCTGTGCAGCTGCGATGCCCGTTCTGCATCACCCTCATTACTGCAGGATGGAAGGACTGACCAGAAAGGATGAGAGGATCGGGAACATTTGGGAATCACAGACTGATGTGACTGACGTGGGTGTGTATCGCAGAGATTGAGGGCACGGCCAGGCGGGAAGGATTGAAAGAGAAAGCTGTTCATCCCGGGGGCAGATCTGCAGGGAGAGGCTTTACAAGGGCTTTTACCCGATAAATGTCAGCAAAACACATTCTGCTGTGGAAGGAGAAAAGGGCTACAGGAACTGAGCCACACTGAGCTATCGCTGCCTAGTTTGACCAGACCTTTGTCCTTTAAACCCAGCACGGTACCCAGGAGCCCAGCACTGCCCTGGAGCAGCCAGAGGAACACCCGAGCCAGACGTTGGCCAGCTGGACCACAGCAAAGCCACCACCAGGCTGGCCCATGCTTGAGAGTGCCACCAGCGCTGGGTACAGAGACAGCAGCAGCCCAGGAGGTTGACGGCACTGAGCAAATAACTCTTTGGGCTGTCGCATACACCACCATCACAGGACAGTTGGAGAGGCAAAGGGAGTCTGTCCCTCGGTGCTGCCACATGGACAGCACTTGGCAGGGGTGATGGGGGTGGGCTCACCTGGATGGTCTCCTGTGCCAGGAGCAGGGCCTGCTCCTTCTCTGACAGCTGCGAGTGGACAGCAGCGTCCCCCCGGGGAGCCTGGGCACAGTTGTGGGTGCTCTTCATCACCCTGGACCAGGAAAGGAAACCCCAGGACAATAACTGACCCCTCCTGCAGTACTGCTGACAGCCCACGGAGCTGTACAGGCCGTGGGGCTCATGCACATGCCCAGCTCCTCCATGTCCTGCCTCACACATCACTGCCCCTAAAGCACACAGCACCCCTGAACCCCTCAGGAACCCCATCTCTCGAGAAGTCCCCTGGAGGAGCACATCACCAGCACCCAGTACAAACCTGCAGTGTCCCTGCACAGCACCAGCAGCCCTTACCCTGCAGCCCTGGGAGACTCCTGGGCACAGCCTCCTCCCACGCCACCCTTCGCCTTTGAGTAGCCTGCAAAAAACAGCAGTTAGCGCATGATCTGCCCAAAGAGCCCTGCCCACCCCAGGGACACCCCCTTCCAGCAGTGTCTCCTATCCCCCCAAGGCTTGCTCATTATTTGGTTGCCCCAGCAGGAGGCAGGGCTGTGCACGCCCCCC